ACATTATTAGGAGTTACTTCCCCTTCACATGTGAGGTAGACGCGACTAGTGTAAAAATTAACTTACTTAATCAGTGCTTGTGACTGCTTATGACAGTGGCCCGAAAGGGGTGAACAGGATATTTACGTGGCTATGAAACAATTTTGAGTATTGTGCACATTTTACCTTCAACTCTTTTGGTAGACTCTTCCAGCCGCTCTTTAAGCTTACATAATCAAAGCTTGAGACTGCTTATGGAGTAGCCCGAAAGGAGTGAAGCAGGGTATTATGTGGCAATGAAACAATTTTGAATGTTAGGCATACTATACTGTTGGTGGTTATGAACGTCTTTTTACATTTAATTTACGAGGTCTACGTCTATGGGTGAATTTGACTCCAACGATTTTTCAAGATTAGGAAGGGAAGCAGTAATATTTGTGAGGCAGCGTGGTGGAATCAGGCTCTCGTCAAAATAATCAAAGTGAAGAAACTTGCATTTTTCAGCAGGTTTGTGAATTTTTATCAATTTTTTGTTTTTTGGCTCAACACCTTTCATACCATTAAAGAACTCATTTATGTGGGGATTGTTCTGAAGAACGTTGATTAAAGGTACAACATTTTTTTTTTTAGTTACCACAGACTCATTAGCTAAGGAAATAACTAATCTTTGGCCACCATTTTCTCACTAATTTTACCTCTGAAAATAGGTGAACCCCACCTCCTTCTTTGGCAAATATCTCGACTTGTATTCAATAAAAATGGATATTTTTTTCATCCATATAAAGACAAGTAAACAAGCTTTAAGACGATACCAATAACTCTACATGCCCAAAAATTGACGAGAGCCTGATTCCACAACGCTGCCTCACATTTTATTATATAGACGCTTCGACACTGATGATGATAATGATGATGATGATGATGATAATGATGATGATGATGATGAGTTTCTCTTTCTTTGTGCTATTGCACTTGATAGTACATCTATCCCCACCCCTCCCAATTTATTTGTGCCAGTTCTGCGTCAGCTCTCAATATTAACAAAATGACTCGCGGATGACTCTTTTTCTTGCTGGATGTAGAAGATCGCAAAAAAGTATTTTAACAAAATTGCGTTTCCTGTCACAACGAGGAAGGACAGCTTACATTAGTTGTCAGTATTAGCCTATCTCGCTTTAGAACCCTATTGTCAGAATGGGGAGAGGCGAGCCGTGACGCAAAATCTCTCTGAAGTTTGCCACCGTGTGGGATTAAAATTTGCTTGCAAAATTTTAGAAATAATTATCGCAGGTAAAAACTGATTTAATTTTCGAAATTTTACTTTACTTTTACGTTTACTTTTATCCACCGCTTATACCCTTTTATGTGTCGCGGGAGGAATGAGACGTCTCTCTGTCGGCAGCCGGAGAGCTTGGGTCAGGAGGTTGCCGTGGGTGGTTAATCTTTCCGGGACTCCATCTGTCCAGGTCTTTCTCGGTCGCCCTCTAGCCTTGTTGCCATCGAACTTTTCATGTAGGCACGTTGTGCTGGTTGGTGTGTTGGTAATCGCATGAGATGTCTGAACCATTTGATTCTTTGGTGTTGGATGTGATGCATAACATCATTTCTTCCCACTGTTTCTCTGATTACTGAGTTTCTGATTTTGTCTCGCCTGGTCTTGTTTACTGCTCTTCTAAGGCATCGCATTTCACATGTTGTAATTCTTTGCTCTAAATGTCTTGTTCGTGGTCCATGTTTGGCATTGATAGGTGAGTGTTGGGATGAATATGGTGTTGGTCATTTTGAGTTTTGTTGTCATGGGGGTGTTAGGATGTTTCAGTAGTGGAGTAAGCTGGTAACTAACATTATTGGCCTTTTGTACTCGTGTTTCAATTTCTCTTTTCCGTCGCCCATCCTCTGTGAATATACTTCCGAGGTACCTACATTCTTGGACCTGTCTAAGACTTGTGTTGTTGATGTGTATCCGGAGTGGCCCTGGCTTTCTGCTTACTTTCATTGTCTCTATTTTGTTGATGTTGATCTTCATGTCGGAGTTATTACATTCTGGTGGTGTGGTGTTGGAGACTTCTTTCATCTTTGTGTGCCAGGCTTTGGTCACCAGCGAAGAGTAATCCATTTAGGGCGTCTGGTTCTGTGTTGGCCTCTTTTGTAATGTTACCCATATATATGATAAATAGTAGTGGTGATAGGACACAGCCTTGTCTTACTCCGGATGTTTTCTCGAAACATTCTGCAAGTCCCTCCGACGTTCTTACTGTCGTATGTTGTTCTCGTAAATGGCACGGATGTTATCTAGAAGTTGGCCGCTTACAGTATAGTTTTCGACTTCTTTCCACAGCTTGTTTCTGTTCACTCTGTCGAACGTTTTCCCCTGGTCGATAAATACTATATTTAGTTCCCTGTAGTGCTCATTTACCCTTTTGCAAATTTTCGTAGGGCAAATATTGCGTCGATTTTCGGAATCAGCTTGTCAAAATAAGCAAATTGGCTCCTGTGGAACTTGATTTGGTGCCATATATCTATACTTGAGCAAACGTTGTCCTTAAATTGTCAATTTAGAATTGGAGAGTCATGTATCGAGGTCACCCAATGCGTTGTGCATCTGACGTCACAGCTGCTAGGCCTTCATACTGCACACTGCGCTGTCACTGTACAAAGTACAGTATGGCGACTTGGTCTAAAGACACTGTTTTTCTCTTTATTGAGATGCAGGGATCTACCAATCCCAAGAATATTTGTGGACATCATTTTGCAAACAGTTAAGTTTAATCAAGAAGAAACTAAAGACTGTGGTTTTTTAATAATAATCAAAAACAAAATGTACCCAAAAAAAACAACAAAACAGCAACACACACACCAAAAACAAAACAAAACAAAACAACAACAACAACAAATCTCATAACAACAGTATGAGTGAACAAACTTCGTTTTTAAAGCCAGTATTTTATCCAATTAGGCCTTTCTTTAACTTGAAAATCGAGACGAAATTAAACATATCTGGTCAAGGTGTACTGTAGGTGATTGCACAAAGATAAACTGTAACAAAGAAATATAGTAAAATAGTAAAACACCAGTCACTGTTCCCTGGTCGCTGTTCCCCGGTAAAATGATATCAGCAGTCGCTGCCCCCCACCCCCCTCCCCCCCCCCCCCCACCCGGCGCAGCCCGGCGCAGCCATTTCAACGTATCTATGCGCTCAGCTAGGACCCTGGCAAAGCCGACCCCAGTAGCTGGTTAGCTTTTCTTTTTCTGGGAGTCAGCTTTTTTCGACATGGTCCATATCGCGGCACCATTACAATACATATTACATGAATAGTGATCGCTTTGTTGCTATGGAATCTGATTAAATACGAGCAATGATAATGATGATGATCCTGACGAAGCCCACAATGCTAAACGTTGAACGGATTTTTATAGATTAAAATACTCTAGTTTTTGCCAACTCTTTGCCTTAAAAAAAATTATTGTGCTTACAAAAGTAAAAAAAACAACAACCTTACATTTGAGTTAAAACCACAAACAACACAGTTTGGGTGCCACTGTGCAACGTTTGTTTTGCTTTTAGTTTTTGTTTTAATCGCGAGGATCAACGTGACCTGCTTAAAGATACTCCATGTGATCAATCGTTTCGCTGCTGTCTCTCTGACATTGTTGGGGTAAGAGCAAAAACACACATCAAAAAGATAACAGCTCATTTTGTGCTGGAGGAAAGCAAGATAATCAGATAGAAACAAATAAGAAAAATGAACTAAATAGAATCTACCACATGGCTTTATTTTACTCCTTAGTTCTGCTGCTATTGATTACCCAACTGCAGACGCTCTAAATGTTCTTTAGTTTTAGTAAGATTTTCACGGCACTTGCAAAACAACAAGGTCGTATAAGTGCCAAAGATTAGAGGTATTACTAGAGAGTAACAGACAAAAAAAGAGGAGGGGAAAGAACAGGATGATACATATTAGATAGAAAGCAAGGATCAAACTACACCAGAGCACCTGCCAACCACCCCCCACTGAATGTATGTGGAAAAACTGGCCTGCGATATTGATTGATTTAGGCGTATTTCCTCTGCCTTCTTTCTCCTTTTCTCTACCCTCCAGGCCAGACGTTCCTCGTTTTAAATGATATGTGTTCAAAATGTATTCGTAAAAATCATTTTGCGCCCTTTCGACATAACTAAAATACTTTAGGAGGTAAACTGCTTCGTACGTAACTACCAGTGTCAACCCTGGCTGAATGTGACACGCAGAGCGTTCAATTATTCTTTACCCTGATTATGAAAGAAGCAAATTAGACGTTAAAAACATTCAAAGTGCTACTTGTCTACATAGTTCACTTACAAATTGGCACAGTTTTGCCATTTTTGTTTGAATTTAAAAGTCATTAAGCGTAACAGGACCTCATCTGCGATTCAAAACATCATTCAATACACACAGAAGATCTTCATCATAATGGGAACGCTGACCTTTGGGCTTGTGTTTTCCGTTTTCAGAAAAGAAGAAAGTCAAAGGGGGAATGGCGTAGATGGCAGAGAATGTCGTTGCCGCACCTTTCTGCTGTCTGAGTTATCTTCACTACAATGTGCACTGGAGCATTGTTGCGCAGCAGGAGAAATTCTTTACACAGCTTTTCTCGCATTCAAGAACTGTCGTCGTTAACTCTTAAAGAACTTTTTAGTTCAAAACACTCATTGGATTTTTGTTTCAAAAAGACACGCGCAGCGTCCTAGAAATATGGACTTTATTTCCTGCAAGTTTCATTATCAGGATAAAGAAATATTAATCACCACTAGCACAACACCCCAGTAGACAGAGAGGGATAGTAACTAAAATTATTCCCCTTTTGTAAATAGAAATCAGGTTTCCTGTGTGTAATGGTGCAAAACTGCTAGACAACAAGTGCCGGTGACTGTTTTTGGGTCCTGAGATTAAAGACATTCACATTTTCCCCTCAGAATTTTACGTTCTTTGGTCCCCCCCCCCCCCAAACCTACCCTTAATCATGACCCAATTCTATTTCAGCAAACATTATCGTAAGTGCAGTGTCCTGTGTCATCGCCCTTCTCGTCATCGCTCTCGTCATCAGCCTACTGTACTGGAGGTAAGAATTCGGTCCACAGAACTGAAATAAATATTAGATAGAACCAAGATTAACAGAAACATAATACATTTCCCCTTTTTCTGCATTGGTTCTCGCCCCCTCCCATCCTAAATATCAGGGAAAGTAAACTGAATGAACATTATGCTCTTTCACCATTAATTAGTGTAACAAAATTATTATGTTACATTTTAAAAAATTACTATGCAATGTGCCATGCCTATGTTCCCTCTAAAGCGTTTGTATGAACCAGGAATCGAACTTTGTACCTTCGAGTGGAATGAAGATATGCTACATCTCCCCCCCCCCCAACCCCCTACCCAGCCTCCCAAGCTCTTTTCTCCCCCTCGCTCCCTCTCACTCAGTCTCTCTGTCTCTGTCTCTCTCCCTGGTTCTGTCGCTCTCTCTCTCTCTCTCTCTCTCTCTCTCTCTCTCTCTCTCTCTCTCTCTCTCTCTCTCTCTCTCTCTCTCTCTCCCGACACACTTTAATAACGGATAGTCAGAGAAAGCATCTATCAATGGAGACCCCAAAGAGCGGATTTTTCAAAATACCCTACCTTACAGAGAAAACTTCTCAAAATTGAAGATTTGTGGGTCAGGATCCCTATGGAGTTTTTACATTTGGGGAAGATAGAGACTGACCAGATCTAAAATATTATGTCTGCCCGAGCTTTAAAAGCGATTAACTTGCACTCGATTATATTCTTTGTGTTGCTATTTCATAGCCTCTAAGCAGCAGTAGCAACACGAAGAGTTCGAATTAGTGTTAAAAAATACATTTTTAGACCATTACAACAAAAATAGAGGGTGGCTTCCTGTTTCTTTAAAACATGATTTTTACTCCACTGTGACATTTGACATTATCTCCCAGGGCCGCTAAGAAAAGGCGAGAGTCAAGTAAAGCCTGGATTGTCCACTACGACGACCTGGTACACAAGGACCACCGAATTGGAAGGTCAAGGATAAACATGGGCTCCGTCAGGAACATGGTTCGTATAATAATTATAATTAGCATTTGTGTAGCGTGTAACCCCGCCCTACAGCAAACTCTACACGCTTTACACACTGTATTACAGTTTGTGCCTGTTTCTGATAAAACTTTTTTTTTTTTTACTGCTCCCCATCATTATTGTTACCACTTTGGAGAGAGGCACGTCCACCCATCGGGGACGCTCATTCTGATCATTCAACAATGCCGGAAGACTGAGCTGTTTCGGGGCACATTAAACAAAAGTCATTCAATTTTATTATTTACATCCGATTATTAAATTATGTTATCTTCTGAGGTTCTCGTGGCCGAGAGGTTAAGGTGTTGGCCTCTCATTCAAAGGTCCCGGGTTCGAATCCAGGTAGCGACATAAAAATTTTCTTCTCTAACATTGTCTCCTTTCACCTCCTTTCCTGCTCTCTAGCAATATTCTGTCTTCTGCTTTCGTCTCCTCTTTCTGCCCCCACCCCCTCACCTCCTTTGCCCCCTCCTCTGGGCTCCTGACTCTTTCTGCAGCCTTTCTACTGCTACTCCTTGACTCCTTCTTACAGCTGTCTTTCTGCCACACCCCTGATCATCTGGTAGGAAAGATCTACACCTAGCCTTCTCGGACAAGGGCGAAAAATCTCGGAGGGCCGGTGTGCAAGTTGCGCACGTTAAAGATCCCCTGGTGGTCTTAAATCGATAAGAGTAGGCTTCGGCGGCCACCCAGGCAAAATTCAAAATTTCCTACCAACTAAAAGTATTAGGTGTGTCCCTCGCGCTCATATGACCTTATGCAGTTGCGAGCGCCGTAAAACCCTCTACTATAAATACATTGTGTATTTAAGAAAATGTTATCTTCATCTGAAACTTAAAACGACAGGCAACAATATGTATGTATTACTTTGTAATAAATACGCAAATTCATGTTTCTGATGTGTTTATGATGGTTTGACATGTGTTGAAACTTTGTCTTTGGTCTGCTGCTGGTCGGACACATATTAGGCCCATAACGTCGTTATACTGTTAAAATCTTAACTTTGGCTGAGAAGAATACAACGTCTCAGCAAACAGATGGAGGCATTTTACTTTTTTTAAAACCTTTCCCACATGGGAATCGAAATTATGTTTTCTACATGCGGCTAAACAGCAAAGAGTCTAACTGCCACACCACAGGCGAATTTCGATGTTTCTGTGCCTGAGGAGATTCTCAACAAGTAGGCCTAATGACCATGCAAATTGACGAAAGGAATCGTGGGGCTCTGGAATAAGTGAGTTAGGGGAAAGTGGGAAGGTAATACCGACTCTTTTATGAATTTTATCTTACAAAGCTCATCTCTTGATCAACAAATAAAATCATTCACAACCTCATGCAAAAAACACAACGCTAACGAACCCAATAACCATAACAAAAATAAAAATAAGTCTCAGCATTGTTTTCAGCAAAGAACAAACTGGCCTGCTATGACGAGTTAAAAGCCTAATGTGCTTACAAGGGTTGAGTGAGACTTCGAAGTAATTCACAATTGCCATTGAAGACAAACACCTACTATTCCCAACGCCGCAAATCCCTCATTTCTTCTGTCCCCAGAGCCCGACCCTGTCTCGAAGTGAGTCCCATTTCTCCATGGATTCCTCGCATGGTCAAGTGTTTGCTGACCACTGCTTCTATCACAACGAAGAGGTGGCGGGGAAGCCTGTCACCCGCAGAGAGAAACTGGCCTATATAACTAATCAGATGACCAGAGAAGTCAATCTGGTGGGTGGATTTTTATTTATCATTTCTACCCCAAATGTTTGTTTTTGTCCTGCTTCATTTTTTTTTTCTATGATTTTTTAAAATTTTCTTGCTTTTGTTTGAGTCTTGTCTCTTCATTTGTGTTTTTTGTGTGGATGTCTTTTTTGGGTTTTTTGGGGTTTTTTTTTTGGGGGGGGGGTTATTGTTATGTGCATTTGTTAAGGCAATTTGTCGTTTTGACAGCTTTGTATGTCTTTTGTCGTTGTTTGCTATTTCCTTTTTATTCTTAAGAGGTTTTTTTCGGGGGGTCGGGGGAGGGGGGGGGGAGAAGAACGGTATGTGGTGCTTAAAAATGTGTCATTCTGTTCTTTTAGCTCCTGCTTTTGTTGAAATTGATGGGTTTTTTAAAATCTCCCATACACACCTCCCTTGGAAATCAAAAGAAATTTGTCCGTTATTCTTTTTATATAATTCCACAGAATAGTTTTGCTCTACATAGGGCGTAAAAAATCCCAACTCATTTGAGCTATGTCCTCATTTTTGTAGCTCGACGCACTAGTTCACATTAGGCCTACCATTAAAAGTCCCAACGGTCTCCCCATTTTGCAAGCTACAATAGTCTAACAGGCCAACAGAAGTTTGCAGATAGTTTTTCTCAAGTTTCTTTTGCCTGCTGAGAACATGGTTAAGATTAGGGACGAGGAGAGAGCTTTTCGTATTGAAAATTTCCTCACCGCTAAGTCATTTCGTACGTTTCGCACAAGGTACGGCAACAATGTTAAAGTGCCCATACTGCCGTCTTTGATGTCAAGGTTGGAAATGGTCCATCAGTTAGGACCTGTAGAGAAACAGAACAAAAACATTCCCAGACGAAACGACCACTTCAGATCAAACACACACCGTTTGCACCCCTTAGAACGTCACCAGGGTGCAGAATTCGGAAGAAGAGCCCAATGAGACGTCTATCCGTAGACGATGTCTACAGCAAGGATTTTACTACATCTCGCTGCCCACATTTTCAAAGCAGATCTTCATCTACAACTAAACTATTTTCCTATTCGCAAAGCTGACACGAATCAGAGGATCGCAATGTGTTCATGATTCCTCGAACGTCTTTAAAAGCGTGAACATTCCTGTATGACATTTGATTCCATGGCAAAGCCCATTTTCACATATCACGATGTTAACTACACAAATACCTATTTGGGCAGACTTACTCGCCACTCTACTGTCTCAAGAAGCAACTCCATGCTGTAAGGTGTACAATGTATGTAACTTTGATTACTCATAGTTGAGTTGATCTTTGTTTGTGTTTGACCACCACTGAACATGTAAACGACGCGTTAAAATAATTATGACGAGTCCATAGGAGGACATATTAGATCACTAATTCTCGAAGTTCCAGTATTAAACATTATATTTTCTAAAACTCTGTAAGAGAACAGAATTGTTATTATTTAAATGTTACAGGGAGGGAACGATTAGAGTTTAAAAAGAAAAGGAAGGGAAAAAAACGATCATTTATGACTCTCCTTAAATTACAAGATCTTTTAAATTTGTGCATTTTGCTTTTATAGGTGGCTTTTATAAAAGCCATTTCTGTTTTCGAAAACAGGTTTCTTCTTTATAAACTGTATGTCAAACAAATTCCTTTGGAATGACTTTTATCTTTTCCAAATTACAACACTCTAGTACGATTTTGTGGAAGATAGTCAGGAAAATGGTTGCACAGTTGTTGTTTTTTTGTGTTTTTTTTTTTGGGGGGGGGGGTGTGTGTGTGTGTGTGTGTGTGTGTGTGTGCAAATTGTAGAAGACAGTTTTTGACGAATATAAGAAAGCGACAGGCAAATTTCTTCGGACACACAATTCGGAAAGAAGCATTGGAGAATATTGTAACAGCAGGCAAGTTTGATGGAAAGAGAGGCAGAGGCAGACAGAAGGAAAAGATACTGGACAAGATGACAGCATGGCTGGGAACAGCAAGAACAACAGACATCATTGCTGCAACGCAAGACAGAGTGAAGTGGAGGTCCATGATCGCCCACGCTAGTCGACATTGCACAGGATGATGATGATGATAATATGTGTGACAGGGTGGCGAAACCACGCGCTCATTAAAAAAGTAAAATTGAAAAATCCGACATTTAGTCTGCTCATTTGCACTTTTTAAGGATCTTTTTCTTAGAGAAGACGAAAGTCGAGATTCATCACGGCAATTAAAAACACATTGCTCCCTAACGATTTTACTGGAAAAGTTGATAAAAGGCACAATAAATGTAAATTTGCCGTTTCCAAAGACATTCAAGCTTTGGAAGTCACCAAACTTTGGAGGCCTTTAGTCACAAATGTTACATCTGAAACCATGCCATCTCGACCTCCTTTAATCGCAAAGATCTTGTCTTCTTTTCAAGACAAGTGGGTATTTTTTTTCATCACAAGCAAGACAAATGAACACTTTTTAAGAAGATACCAATAACTGCATATGAATAAATTGACAAGAGTTTGATTTGGTCTCGTCGTCACACATGCTTTTATCTGTCTCTGGTACATTGTTTCCCAATCGTCAATCCAAAAGAAGATCAAAACTTGGGATGAAAGAAAAGGTCAAACTCTAGGCCAAATTCGGAGGCTCTTGAGATTTTTCTCTGCCTGAGGGCAAATTACAATTTTGAACAAACTGTAGCTTATTCTCTTAACATTGTTCTTTCATTTTTTATGATTCCATAATTCGTGTCTGAAGTGGCATTGTTATTTTCCCTCAGGCTAACCGCTTCCTTTCGATCAATAACGTGTGTAAATCAAAATCTCATATTATGCCCTACACGCATAAAAGCAAAGTTGTTGTAGGGTTGGAAAAATGAGTCTCGACATAAAGACAAGATACTCGGGAACTTGAGCTTTCTTTGAGAATGTCAGAAGAAGTAATGTATCCTAAAATAGCTTCCCTTGGCATGGCTATTTTCATTTTTAGGTTGTTGTTTCCTTATCAAATCCAAGTTTTTAAAATTTCCTTTTTCAAATGAAATTGTATCTCTCAGCTGATCTTACGTGCGATCTTACGTTTCCTCAATATTATCTAAATTAAAGTTAATTTGCAAAAGTAATGATGATGATGATGATGATGATGATGATGATGATGATGATGATGATGATGAT